TCCCAGGTTCGATCCTGCCCACCGACGGCCAGGGTCTGTCGGTGTTACATATACAATATGCTGCACCCCCACCAGAGAGAAGGAAAGAAGAGCTAAGAAAAGAGAGGAAATGCACCCTTTACCTCTTTTGTAGGTGAGCCTACAGAATATTATTGTTCCATCAGCACCTGCTTAAAGTATATTCTCTTATTTGATAAGGAGGGCTCAGTATCCGATTTAAGACTTTCTTCCACAAGTGACAAATGCCTTAATTCATAGTAACAGGTTTCAGAGTAGAAAGTGAGGAATAGGGTCCCCTTGCCCTAAAATCATCCAAGAGAACATTTCCACGCTGGTGTTAATTCTCCAGTTCAAATTAACTTTAAATAAATATACTAAGGAGTTCTTCAATAATAAAACAAAGCTGTTCAAATTGTCAAAATGCAACAGCACGCCAATTAGCAGATGTATGCAGATCATGTCGAAACCGCTTTCCATGCAAGAGGCAAAAGAAACCACACAGTTCTGCAGTCAGCAGGGAATAGATCCCAAAGAAACTGCCTTCAAAATTCACTGACAGTCATATAGTCATGGGACAATGGCTTGAATTTTAACTAGCATTTTCAATCTGCACATACCATCCCCAGGGTCATATGCTGAATGAATTTTACCTTACCATTATGCTGATAACTTTCACATATCCAATTATCACACACACTCAACAGCATAAAGGTCCCTCTTTTCCTGTTGGAAGAGCTTTCCTTTATTGTGTTGAGAGACTGAAGTGGACATCTAAAAAGCACCTGCCACTGCAAATACCATGTGGACTTCTTTTAATGAGCAAATGTAAACATAAGAGATTAAAAGACTAGCACATCTGGAAAAGCTCACGCTGTACCAGGCAAGACAGTTCTGAAGCAGTGCAAAGTGTGACAGTTCTAGTGCCACAGACTGGAAAGTAATTTTGCTGCCGCCACCACCTCCTCAAGAAGAACCAGAAGCTCACCTAGAATATCCACAGAACATGTGCATCTTGAAAAGACGCATGACAAGGTACCAAAAGGCCTGTTATCACAGGGACTTCAGCTCTTGTAGCCTAATCAATGCTTTTTCTGGGAAGTAAGAAAGCTCCATCTGGGTCAACACTTAGAATCCTGACTAATTAGGAGTCCGACCAGACTCCATCAGAGCTGTAGGCTGTCATTCCTTTTATGCATGGAAAAGACCTGTAGATGCATCCTGGGCAGGAAAGAGGGAAATAGACAATTTTAGGAGGGGTGTTCACATACTGCTGTCTCTCTCTCTCGACATTTACTCTACCCACCTCCCCCTTTCCGAAGTGGGGATGGTTGTTTCCTTGCATAGTGTGCAGCAGCCAAGAAGAAAGTCAATGTGTCCAAGGACAAGTCTAGAACCTTCCTTAACATTTCAGCTTAGTCTACTACCCTGATGACCCTACAAAGTCTAACAGGCAAAAAGAAGTTCAATAATAATTACAAAGTAATGCATGCAAGATATAAAACCATATAGTCAAAAATTTAGCTCTATTAATGGTAAATGAAGACCTGTGCGCTCAAGAGAGGTGTCCCTATTTTTCCATCTATATTCATGACAGAAGCAGCAAAAAAGAAAATTCCAGTTGCAACTCATATGGATTATAAGAGCTACTTTTCAGAGATGAACTTCATTGTACACCCTTTACTCTTGTGTGCTGATCACTGTAAGTGGAAGTGATCTGGAGATATGCACTGCATGCATACTTAAAGGCGGTTTGTTCAAAGTGTGGGTATTTCACTCTCATACACAACAGAAATAAACTCTTTTCAGAGGTGCTACTACTCCACAGAACATTAAAACGATAATCTAGGGCCTTGGAAAAATAGCACTCCTAAAGCCATGGATCTTACTAACAAAGTAGAAGACTGATTGAGAGCCAAGAACCTCTATTGCTTAATATGTTCTTTTGAATCCAAACAGGTTATGCATTATGTTAAGATATTTTTGAAAGATCAGTTTTCATATGATAAATATTAGATTCAATTATGTTGCCATCCAGAAATATAGTGCATGTTTGTATAAGAATCCTGGAAAAATCATCCCACTGTATTAATATACATCACTATTAATGCCGGTGTTTCAAAGTTTATTTTAAATTATTATATTTATACTTTTTTTGTTAAAGTATTAAAACACTCTTACCTGTATATCCTGCCCACCAGCCCCAGGAAGCCACCATAGCTAAAAGCCATTTAAATAATACTCCTTCGATATACCAGAACCGCTTACTATCCAACAGTCGAAGAGGCTGCAGTATAATTAAATACAAGATGTAGGATGGAATAGCAACTAGGTTATTGGCAACCATGAAGCCGAACCTCAGGAGTCCTTTCAGAAGTGTATAGCCCACCCTCTGGGCCTGTTCTAAAGTCACAGCCATTCTCTTCACACCAGAGTATGTGGGCTCTTCCTACAGTAAAAGAAGAACAAGATACAGCCATTACTCACAGAATAAAATGAAAAACACCCTCTCTACCGAGTCAACATGCTAGTGAGCTAGATACAGTGTCCCCTTAATAAAGCTGTCTACTTCAGCCCCAATCCATTTTCATAAGCATCTGCAGCCCTTAATTACGTCTACCATACCTCAAAATTAGTCAGAGTGGAGGATGAAAATAAAGTACATTGAACATTTCCATGTCCCAAAGAAAGAAAAAAAAATTAAGAACATCACACACCATCAACGTGATACTCGCCTGAATTAAAAAGCTGAAAGTTGAGAAATTTCTGGGAGTCACACAAAAAACCTACAGCTATGAATTAAGGTAAGTGGCATATCAATAGACTTGGAAGGATTAGGTTTTGTCAGTGGACATTGGTTTCATAGTACACACACAAACCAAAGAACAAATATTTCCATTGATGATAACTGAAATTTACCAATAGGCAAAGTAAGAAAAATGCTGCGAGAACTTTTATTAGAGTTTGATTTAAGCATATTTACTCTTTGCTTTAATATGCGATGTTGGTAATTTGTGTTTTAATGGCTATAAAGCTTTAACTTCCTGAATCTCAGCATCTATTGTCAGGAAATAATTACTGTCTGACCCCATAGTTACCCTAAATTTCCCACACCTGTAAAAATTTAAATGGATAATAGAAAAGATGCTTAAAAACAAACCGTTATCTGACAAAAATATAAAAAATACAAAAATTAATTCTGCCAAGCCTACATATCAAACGGTACATTCAGCAAGTGGTCATATAAATTATATAAACATACCCTGGAGAATGAGAGGGAGGAGTACACATTCCCTGTGGCTGGGCAGCAAGTGATCACCGAGAACCAAGTAACAGAACTGGGGAAGGATGGGGTGGTAGTCCCTTTCCTTTCCCTTTCAAACTCAGTGACCTGCCCTGGCTCACACCAAAAGAGGCAGCAGGAACACTCAGAAATGTTCCTCCTTTTACCAGGGCAAAGGGAAGGGAAATAATGACACACACTCCTCTGTCTCTCCAAAGTCAACAGCCAACACCGCCTAGGCAAGGTCTCCCTCACCCTTCACGCTGCGAAGCCTGGCTGAGGACGAGCGGGGCGAGCTCCCGCAGCTGCGCTAGACCCGCTGAGGGAGAGCCAGGCAGGGAGCGAGGGGCACCAGGGCAGCCAAGAGGGGAAGCGGTGGCAGGGGCCATTCGCCGGGTGACTGACCCCGGCCAGCGGGACTCACCTCCTGCGGCGCAGGGGAACAGAGGAGGCCGCGGCGGGAGGCGGCGGCGCGTGTCGCGGTTGACGGCGGCTGGAGGCGGAGGCGGCTCGGCGGGGCGGCGGGCTCATGGACCCGGAGGTGACTGGCCGGGCCCTGGGTAACGGGCCGGGAGCGCTCCGCGCCGGCCGCTCTACTCCCCTTGCAGCGGCCTGCGGAGAGAGGGGCGGGTCAGGGTCCGCGCCGGCAGGGAGCAGGGGCTGGCCGGGCCCCGTCCCGCTTTCGGGCCAGAGCTGCCGCGGGTCTCGGGCCTATCGCGCCCTCCCGCCACCGCCGCCCTCCCCGCGCCCCACAGCAACCCTCCGTGCCCGGGAAAGCCGGCCTGACAGCCGCGGGCCACGGAGCGTGTCTGGCCGGGGCGGCATCCTGCACCGTCCCCAGGGTCAGCCGGACACCCCCCTCCCATGCAGGGGGCTCTCCTAAGGGCAGCAATCGGGTGTCCCTGCTCGGCCCGCCACCCCATCCCCCGAAAAGGGGATCGCCGGGGAGCGATAGGGGGACCCCTGCCCCCACCCCATCCCCCGAAAAGGGGATCGCCGGGGAGCGATGGGGGGGACCCCTGCCCCCACCCCATCCCCCGAAAAGGGGGTCGCCGGGGAGCGATGGGGGGGACGCCTGCCTGCCATGCCCCAGCCCCATCCCTGCGAAGGGGATCCCGGGGGAGCAATGGGGGGACGGTGCCCCCCACCCCATCCCCCGAGAACGGAGATCCCCTGGGAGCAATGGGGAGGACCCTGCTTACCCCAACCCCACTCCCCGAGAACGGGGGAGTCTCCGGGGAGCGATGGGGGGGACCGTGGCTCCCGGCTCTAGGTGCTTTTCTCGGGGAGCAGCAGGGGTCCCGGCCCCTTCCCGCACACCCGTCGGGCTGGGTCTCCCTTCCCAGGCAGAGGCCGTGCCGGGGCTCCATACCTCCGCCTAGCTGGCTCTGTCCCCGGGATAGGCGCTCGGGGGCCCGAGGGATTCATGCCGCCGGCGACTCGCGCTGCCTACCACCCCCGCAGCCGGGCTGGGTCTCCGCCGTGACTGCTCGCCTCTCGCTCGCTCGCTCCCGAGGAAGCGGCGGCTGCAAGAGGCAGAAGCGGAGCTCACACTGCAGCAAGCGCGGCTCCCTCCGGCCGACAGCTCCCTCTAATGAGCGCAGGCTGGCTGCGCCCCCGGCGGGCAGACCAGCCCCAGCCGGCTCCTCCCCTTCCCCGCCGCGGGCCCCTACGCCCAGCCCTTCAGCATCCCTTTCCCCATTGCCACCGGCGCTCGGCTCCCCTGCCGCTCACACGCCCATTGCTAGGGGCAAGAACAACTCCGGCGCAGAGCCCAGCAGGAGGAGCGCCAGTTCAGGTCGAGTAGAGATTTGCATATAACAATAGAATTACACTATTTACAAAGGAAATGTGTCTCCACTCCCATCCAGCACTTGCTCTGAGGACAGAGGAATGATTCGAAAAACTACAAATCTTTAAATAGTTCGCATTATAAACATTTTTAAATGGCCCTCTTTTGTGTTAGGTTTGGAGCATATTCTTTTTTGACCCAGATCCCACTACCAAAGAAATGGCAGCTTTGAGAAATGAATGTTGATTCACTCCTAGAATTTAACAAAATCTAAGATGAACAGGCCTTTAAATTTTAGGGTTAGGTTTTATTAATAAATCATGACCATTTATATGGTGCACTGCTAGGAGTATTTTAATTGAAAAATATTATTTTACAAATATGTATTTAAGTAGACATTCCACAATCTCAGGCCTCTGCTTTGCAAACACAGGAACTACCATTTGGGTCAGAATGGAAGTCCATCTAATCTAATCCAGTATCTTGTCTCAGAATGGCCCATACTAGATGCTTCAGCAGAAGGTGTAAGAAACTTGTCATAGGCAGATCTGGGACATGATAGGCTTCATCCTGAACTTTAATAGTTAGAGATTGGCTTAAAGTCAGAGGCATTAGGTTTACTATCCCTTACAAGAGTTATCAATAATAATCATTCTTGATAATCTTGATCCTTTTTTTTTGGCATCATGGTTTTTAGGCACCATGAGTTTCACAATTCAAATTACATGTTGTGTGAACAAGTATTTCTTTTTATCAGTTTTTAATTTCCTACCTTTTAATGGAATAGCTCTTTGTTCGAGTAACAACAGGGAGAATAGTAATTCCTAATCTACCTTCTCTATACCATTGTACTTTTATCATGTCCCCTCCTATTTATCTGCTTTCTAAAGTAAAAATCCCTATTGTATGGAAAAACTTCAATGTAGAGCAGCATTTTACACAAACCAATGCCAAAATTAAAACACTATATCCCAACAGATCATTTTATATCAAAAAGAAAGACTGCCCTCTTGGCCCAGCAGTCTTTTTTTAGTAAAAAATAAACAGGAATTGAAATCTGTGGTGATGGTGTCATAAGAAATACTTCTAGTTCATCAGAAAAAGCGTTTTTCAGAGGGCAAGAAATTAGTGAAGGAGAATCTGTAAATTTCTGCTGCACATAGTGGTGACCCAAAAACCCAGAAAGTAGTTGATGGGAGTGCCCTTTCACATAACACAGTGATGATAAGACGTCCCATGATGTGTTAGCACAGATTAAACTTTTCAACAGCTGCATGGAAATATTTTTCACTTGCAGTTTATGACAGTGGTGATGCTACTATTACTGCATAGTTGAGTGTTTTTGTTAAGTGTGTGAATGAAAATTTTGATATAATTGAGGAACTGTTGGTCTCTGCCCACTTTGTTCTACAACCAGTGTCTCAGACTTGTTTGAAGAACCAAGAACATGTATTGCAAGAGTATGCAGTGTTGTTGTAGCAGTGCTGGTCCCAGTATATTAGAGAGACAAGGTGAGTGAAGTAATCTCTTTTATGGGACCAATTTCTGTTGGAGAGGGAGACAAGCTTTTGATTTTACACAGGGCTCTTCTTCATAGTGACAGTTAGTGAAAATGTTAAGCTTGATTGGTCCAAATTAGACAGTATTTGTACAGATGGGGCACCTGCCAGGACAGTCCAGAAGAATGGTTGAGATGTTTTGCTAGAAAAGCTTTTGGGTTCTGTATCAGACCGACTGTCCTCCACTTTAGGAAGTTATGTGGTTGAGCATTTTGCTGAATGAGCTAATCTCAAGGACCCACTCTTACTGCTCATTTCCTAAACTTCCTGTAGCCCTGAGACCAATCAGTACCTCCAGAATCCACCCATACCCACACAATTGCACTCCAGAACAAAAGGGTTAAATGTGGCACATAGATGAAATGTGCCTGTAACTTCTGTATACTTCAGAGTTAATTATATGGACCTGAGGGTATAATTTGGCCTGAAACTTTTATTTAAATAGTGTGCCTAGACACAGCCCTTAAAATTGTAAAGGAAATGTTTCAAATATGAACCAAATGTAAACCCATACACAGTTGTCTTTCTGTGACAATAAACAAAGAGCCTAAAATAAAACAACGTTAAACCTCTCCCATTCATATCAATAAACATTCATGGAGCATGTTGGCAATCCTCATGATTGTATTGAGATGTTTTTCTTAAACTTCAGCTCCTGGAGGCGAGTGATCACAAAATAATCTCTGCTTTCTTTTTTTTTAAAGTTTCTAGCCCTCATGGTTAAGGTGAAAAGCCTGAGAACATGAGCAGAGTACTCCCCGAAGGCTCAAAAACTAGATGGCAAAAAAGAACTTCTACATTTTTTTTTTAAATCTCATGATTTGTTAATGCTTGGGGCTGGCCATACTGGTGAGGAGACTGTCACTACTGACTATTTTACCAAAAATCATCTGCTACTGTCCTTATCCATTGTTAGATGCAGAAACCATTGGACAAGGAGTTCTATGGTAGTTGGTTGGTGTAAAAGTTTGCTGCAGTAGAAAATTATATGATGGAATTCATAACTCTCCCAGCCTTCTCCCCAAATTAAAAAAATCAAGTCACCCCTACTACTGCCTACAAAAAGAGGGGAAAAGACATCTCCTTCCCAATCTCCAACTGCTGTGGGGGTGTCAGGTGTCAAAAACTTCTGTGACAGCTTCTACATAAAAGTCTTATATTCTCACAACAAAAATATAGCATGTAGAAAATATAGAGGAAGTATAAATTTAATATTAAAAATAGGGAATACAAGGATTGTAGTGTTCATATTTAACTCATTAAAAACTTACATGTTTGAATTTACTTGAAGCTGCCATCCAAAGGTGTAGAAGAGCACACAGAATTTATGTCCGTCTTGCTGCAGAGTACAAAAGACCGTGACTATTTAAAATAATTGACACTAAGAAATAAACCAAAGGAGCCCATTCCTTCGCCCACTGAAAGAAGAGGGAAAGACTTCAATGGGAGCTACATCCTGGATCTATGTAGTTACTCTTGGATATTATTCAATCTACAAATCTATTGTAGAGTTAAGCAATAAACAATTTATCAAATTCTGTCCTGAGCCACAGTGCACTTGTACAATCCCCAGGCAATAACTATGTGACAGATTCCAAATACTTCACCAGAGGCTGGATTTGACTACTCCAGCTGACCTCAGGATGACAGTTGGTCTCTCAGTTGTCAACAAAACTGTAAAGGATTTTATAGATCACAAAATTCCTTGAATTGTACCCAGAAGCAAGTAAGCAGCTAGTATAGCCGTTGAAGAACTGATATCCCCATAAGTTACCATCCAACAGTAGATCGCTGCATTCTGTACTCGGAATAGTTTCTGAGTAGCCTGGAAGCCTAGACCCAAGTAGAGAGCATTCCAAACATGCAAGTAATCTACAAATCACAAAGGCGTATACTGTTATGGTGGAGTCCTGATGCAAGAGTAAAGGCTACAAATGCCTACCCAGATATAATGGGGGGAAGGAGTGTTTTTGGAATTCCAGAAGCAGTTAGGATGTTTAAAAGCACTCCCAAATTGTGCCTATCTAGGGCAAAGGTTGGACAAAACCTCTCACAAACGGCTAAGAAACTACACAATATCTTAAAGATTATCCGCCTGTACTAATGACGTCATCTTCATCTTGTCCAGACTGAGCTTCAGTCAACTCTTCCAATTCCACTTCAGTTAGACACAAAAAAATAAAGCACAAATACTGGGCCTAATTAAAATGAGACACAGAGGTACATATTATCCATGTACTGATGGCACTGCAGCCCAAATTCCCTTGCATACAGTGAACCTGACTAGGAAATCTCACAGAGGAGATTACTTAGGGAAGACAAGTGATTGCACAAAACCACCCCTGGCACCCCTCAGAAAGGAAAGAGCTAAAGCTCTCAAGAGCTTGGTGCTGACTAATTGGAAGGTTTTGAGAGAGGCACTAAAGGGGACAGCATGAGAGATTGCAGAGTTGGGAGTGTGCAAGTCTGTCACAGGGAACAATCAGGACAGAAATGTGAGTGGAGTGTACAAAGCTGTAGGCCAGCGTAACTCAATAGGCAGAACTGGGGCCAAATCTGAACTGCCAGACACTTTTGAACAGACTGCAAAATCTTTTTATTTATTATTATTATTATTATTTGTATTATTTTCTCTAGAGTCTGGACCTTGACTATACCTTGACTAAGAAATTTGGACCTTGACAAAAATAATTGATTACCCCTGCTGTAGGGTGTGTAGGATGAGAAGGGACAGACACATAGGCAGGGGCAGTGGAGCTGGATAGAGCTCGGCAAATGAAGAGAATAGCTGAAACAATGTGGAAGAGGAAAGGAAGCCAGTCTAAAGAAACAAGAAAGAGGGAAGCATGGGCATAAGGACAGGAAAGGAAGAGTGGCATTCCACTCCTCCCCTGTCACAGTCCAGCACTGCAGACTCCCAATACCCACTACTCTCAACACCCATCCCTCTGCAGTTTAGCCCTGTTGAAGTACAGTACCCACTGCTCTGTACTCCAAATGAGAAGGCTGGATATGATTCCTGGACATACACAAATCTTTAGCCATCTCAGAACCCCACCTCCTCTGGGGACCTTCCCTTCCCCCATCCCCCTCAGTGCTGATGTGTTTTTTTGTTTTTCTCTCTCTCCTCCAGTTACTGTTTTTTAATAAAAGAGTTGTATTGGTTTGAAAGCAATCTTTATTCTATTTGTTGAAAGCAAACAGAGCCCTGCAAAGCAACAGCAATTATCTTAAACCTTCACATTGCATCATCTGCACCAATCACAATCACCTCCTAGAATTACAAGCACTGCACTCCAGAGCATAGCAAAAAATATTAGTGGCTTTCAGCTTCAAATTGCTGCCTCAAGGCATCCCTGATCCTTATGGCCCCATGCTGCACCCCTCTAATAGCCCCGGTCTCTGGCTGTTCAAATTCAGCCTCCAGGCACTGAGCCTCAGCGGTCCAGCCCTGAGTGAAGCTTTCACCCTCCCTTCACAAATATTATGGAGCGTACAGTATGTGGCTATAAGTATAGGAATATTGTCATTGGCCAGGTCCAGCTTCCCATATAGGCAGCGCCAGCGGGCCTTTGAACAGTCAAAAGCACACTCAACAGTCATTCTGCACTTGCTCAGCCTGTTGTTGAACCTCTCCTTGCTGCTGTCAAGGTGCCCTGTGTATGGCTTCATAAGCCACGGCATTAAGGGATAGGCGGGGTCTCCCAGGATCACAATGGGCATTTCAACTTCCCCTACTGTGATCTTCTGGTTCGGGAAGAAAGTCCCTGATTGCAGCTTCCTGAACAGGCCAGTGTTCCGAAAGATGCGTGCATCATGCACCTTTCCGGACCAGCCTGTGTTAATGTCTGTGAAATGCCCATGGTGATCCACAAGTGCCTGGAGAACCAGAGAAATACCCCTTCCAATTAATGTACGCGGTGGCTAGGTGGTCTGGTGCCAGAATTGGAATATGCATGCCATCTGTCACCCCTCCGCAGTTAGGGAAGCCCATTTGTGCAAAGCCATCCACAATGTCACGCACGTTGCCCAGAGTCACGGTCTTTCGGAGCAGGATGCAATTATTGGCCCTGCACACTTCCATCAACATGAGTCCAACAGTCGACTTTACCACTCTGAACTGGTTAGTGACCAATCGGTAGCTGTCTGGAGTAGCTAGCTTCCACAGTGCAATTGCCACACGCATCTCCAACCACAGGGCAGCTCTCATTCTCATGTCCTTGCACCGCAGTGCTGGGGCAGGCTCATCACACAGTCCCATGAATGTGGCTTTCCTCATCCGAAAGTTCTGCAGCCACTGCTCGTCATCCCAGATGTGCATTACGATGTGATCCCACCACTCAGTGATTGTTTCCCGAGCCTAAAAGCAGCGTTCCACTGTAGTCAGCACCTCTGTGAATGCCACAAGCAATCTCATGTTGTAGCTAATACGTGTGGCTAGATCAATGTCACACTTCTCTTGTCTTTGTAGTTTAAGGAATAACTCCACTGCCACTCATGACGTGTTACTCAGAGTGAGCAGCATACTGGTCAACAGTTCGGGATCCATTCCTGCAGACCGATGTGGCAGGGCACACAGTACGCAAACCGTTGAAAGATGACACCAAATGCAGACGGAAGCACAGGGATTGCTGGGATGCAAAGCAATGCATCACGGGGCACTGGGAGAGGACCCACGATGCCTCGCGACCCTCTCCTCCTTCCACAACTCTTAGCGACAGAATAGGAAGAGATGCTCTATGGGATAGCTGCCCAGAGTGCACCGCTCCGAATACCGCTGCAAGTGCCGCAAGTGTGAACATGCTATTACGCAGGCAGCTGACAGTGTGACCACAACAGTGGTTTCCCTTCAGCGCTCTCTGAGCGGCACTGTAACTACTGGCACTGTAACTCTGCCAGTGTAGTCATACCTCATGCTGGAGCCAGGGCTCTGTGGCCCTCCCCCACTTATAGAGTCCCAGAGTTCAGGCTCCCCAGCTGACCCAGGCCAGCCACAGGTGTTTAATTGCTGTGTAAATATATCCTGTATGTCATAAAACAGGTTCCTTGTTTTATCCTCTTTGTATGCAGAGAGCACTAAGTGCAGTTCTCATTCCCTTAGTTTGCAACAATAATACTTCTTGAAGAACCAAGCCCTTTCTAATATTTACATATTGGTCTCAGTTAAACTGCTTAAAGTAACCAGTTTAACTGCTTAAACTAACTCTGTGTCCTCTGACTGGTTTCTGAACCTCCAGTGATAGTTTTGTTGCCAATCTTGAAATGGAAATCAGTTTTGCCTAAGAAAGAATAAAGGGAACGTGCTGGCCCCTAAAAGCATATGGGTGCGTGTTAAACTCCATTGATCTTGAGAGTGGAAAGTCTTACTACAGCTCTTGACATGCTTATGTTTTACCCACTCACTTTCAGTTCTCCTTTAGCCTCAATATTAATGGCTTCCAGCAACCACATATTAAAGAATCCCTTCAAAGTATTTTCTAATGTATCATTGAGGCCTGTTCTTTGCATATTATTTTCCTTCTCCCTCTTTTTCTCTAGGAGGAAAATACTTCCAACTTCTGTCCAAGTAGAGAGGGTCTTGGACACAGATTCTCAGGACTGATTCTCAGTCAAACTAAGATCACTGAACAAAACTCTGGTAGTGTAAAGTCACCATAAAGCAGGAGTAAATTATAGTTATACCACTGCAAGGTCTTTTTACAATGCCATATCAGTGTAAAGAGGACGTGGCATAAATGAGAATTTGGCCCAAACTTGATGATAACACCATACAGGTTTGGGGATAGGATTTCAAGAACCTGCACTGAGGGTGTATAGCCTTTGTATACAATGGAGTCCAATTCCATGGGATGACATGCACAGCCAGGGCCGGCTCCAGGCACCAGCTTGGCAAGCTGGTGCTTGGGGCGGCCACTCCGGACAGGGGCGGCAGGTCCAGCTATTCGGTGGCAATTCGGCGGACAGTCCCTCAGTCCCGCTAGGAGCGAAGGACCTTCCGCCGAATTGCCGCCGCAGATCGCGATCGCGGCTTTTTTTTTTTTTTTTGTGGC